TTTTTCTTTTGATGACACTTTTAAGTTCACAGGAATGCAAAAAGTTCAGCTTCTGGCATTTTTTCCACATTCAGAGTTCGCCAAGTTCCCAATAAAGCTGTTTGACTGATTTTGGGTTATCTGCCTTGAAACGTTCCAAAGCGCTTTCATAATAGAAAACGTCTCAGATTAAAGATGGCCTTTAAACATTTTTGGCAACATTTATGTTCCATATCGGTTTTCGAATGAGAAGGTGCTGCTGTTTTTGATCCTGGAGGTGATTCTTAAATTTAGAAACTGCCTACATTGTCTGCAAGTTTCCTGTCAGAAAGCAGCCAAACATTTTGGAGAATGGAAAACATTTTCCACCACTTCTATGTGAATGATTTGACTCTACATGTGCTTACAGTTTTACTTAAAAATACATTCCAAATGAAAAAGTTGCAACCAAACTATTCAGACAGTCTATTCACACTTCTGTCTCCTTTTAGGCACTTTTTTTTCATTCAATCTTAATTATCCTGATGAGTTATCATGTGGGGGGCATGCATGTTGCTCTGATTATAACATGCTCCTCAGATCCCAAAGGAGAGGATAATTATTGACTTTTAATGAGCAGCCATTGAGAACACTCAGTCTCTGGGTGGTTTTGTAATAACTGATTTTACGATGTGTGTTTTGTTTAACCAAATGAGTCAGTGTCATGTGCAGTGTGACCTGAGGAATCACATCAGTTAAATTCATCACAGTGAGGAAGGTGATAATGCTGTCTTATGGTGCATTTGTTTATCTTTTTCCATGACATATTTTTTTTGGCTACAACAAAACTGAAGTTATGGGCACATTTCTCTTCAGATCTGCTCTTTCATATTACCCTGATCATCGTATGAGCATTTTCTATGTTGTAAAACAGACGTTAGACTCTCAGGAGCATGTCAACATCACATCCCACCACTAGCAAAGACCAGGTTCATCACATAAATTTAGAGAGAGAGTGAGTGTGTATGTGCCAATTTCACACTCTTAGGGCTCTATTTTGACAATCTAGGTCCAAAGTCTAAAGCGCATGGTGCAAAAGCATTAAGGGCGTGACTGAATCAACTTTTGTTATTTTAAGGATGGAAAAATACAATCGGCGCATGGTCATGGCTGATTTTCTTTGAGTTATGGGTGTGTTTGGGGTGCATTAAACCAATCAGTGCATTAAACCTGCATCAACCTGCGTCATGGTGCATTTTACCTGTCGGACTTTGTAGGAGGAAAAACTGATTGCTTCACTAGCGAGAAAACAGTTAAACACCATCTGCAGCACAAGAATAAAGAACGAGCCTCCTCCATTCAGCCTCTTTACTTTACTTTTATTCTTTACTCCTTTACTTGCGTGGATAAGGATACGTTGTTGAACGCACTTCACTGAAGACATCATTAGCCTACATAATTAGTTTTAAGTGCAAAGACTTGTTTCAAAACTTTATCTGAATCCGGTTCTAATTTCCAGTACATTAAGAAATGAACAATAATAACAAAGTGTTATGCCCATATGGTGATGCATACTCTTCAAAACCAGAGAGGTGGACAAATTTAAACTTGTTTTTATTAAAACAAATATAAATATGCATATAATAAATAATACTGCTAATAATAATAACATTATACAAATTCTAATTGTCATGAATTAACTGAAAATTCCCCCACAAGCCCAAAGAAATGCGGTATAGGTGAATTGGGTAAGCTAATCTCAATCTAATCTAAATTTCATCAATGAATCAGCCCATCATTAATGATTAAAGTCCTGCTAAACTTATATGTCAATGCACCAAAAGTACCAGGCATCTGCTAGGCTTGCTGCTGTTGTTGGTGTAGTGTTGTATGTGCGCTATTTGTTTCTAATCCTACATGGTGTGTGAACAGGCTGTGGAGTTTGGGAGCTTATGATGATATGGTGTGCTGTACATCAGTCAACTGTTTGTTATTCCATTCCTGTGTCTGCTGCTGCTCAGGCAATGCTGTCATGATGCAGGGTCTCAAACGCTAGTAAATCACCAAAAGTGCTGTTGGTGTTTCACTAAGGCAACCGTGCTTTAGGATATATTGTGACAACACTCAAAATTAATTGCATCTGCTCTTTTTCTCTGCTAGGTTTCACTCATTTCTGTTGTTGAACATCTTTTGTATCAAAAGTACTGCTATCTTCACTTGGCACACTTAATTATATGAACAGTGCATTATACGCTACTATGTAAAGTTACAAAAAATAGTACCAAGTTAGTTGTATTTATTTAATTGAATGTTTTTATTTTATTCCTTAAGGAAGAATGCTTTAAGATGAACATTTAAAAACAATTAAGATGTGTTTTTAAAACAATTATTTTAAATGAATGCTGTTTATATGAATTATTGCATTTAGACCTTTATTCATCAACATTCACATATAATGGTGTGAGACATTGACAAAAAATAATGCGCAGTATTTATTCATTTTTCTTCAGCTTAGTCCCTTATACTGTATATCAGGGGTCGCCGCAGCGGAATGATCTGCCAACTATTTCAGCATATGCTTTACACAGCGGGTGCCCTTCCAGCTGCAACCCAGTTCTGGGAAACACACATATTCACACACACACACACACACACACACACACACACACACACACACACACACACACACACACACACTCATACACACACTCATACACTACGGACTAATTAGACTATTCAATTCACCTATAGCGAATGTAAGCTCCACACAGAAATGCCAACTGGCCCAGCAGGGACCCGAACCGGCGACCTTCTAGCTGTTAGGCAACAGTGCTAACCACTGAGCCACCATGCCTCCCTTTTTTTTTTTTTTTTTGTTTGTTTTTTTGATAGAGATAATTAAACAATATTTATTATTAGTTTCACAGTCTTAATGAGTAATTCATTCAAAACAATTCATTTAGAAACTAAATAAAGGACTGTTTTTATGAATAGATCACTGAATCATTGACTCAGATGTTAAGTGTAAATGAACAGATTCGTTCAGGAACAAAGCACTTCATTGTTTTTCTGAAACACAGATGTTCTGCTTCAGCTTTGCTTAGAACAATTTTCATCAGTAGCCATCCAAAGATGCGAATTCAATTCATACACAAAACTGGAATATCGCATTATAAAAGACGTGCGAATAAATCTGCGTTTCCATTTAACGAGTCAACGAGAACAAAATCGTCACTTTCTGATTTACTGGTGACAAATATCAACTGTATAAATGGAATTTGCTGCGGTAGGAGAATCTGCATGAATCTTTTCTTTATTTAATAAATGACTTGCACCTCAGAAGACAATGCTGAATCGCAATGAACGCATGGTGGCATTTGAAGGTGTGAGATGCGGAGCACAGATGCTCTTAACATAATATATAATAACAGTGGCGCCATACGGCTGTAAGCACTGTGCGTACCTACCATGAGAAGGAGGGGGGTTATTAATGCCGCTTTTTTATTTATTTATTACATAATTTAAATTATTAAACAGTATATACCACGATATATTAACAAATCAAGAAAGAATGACAACAAATAAAAGTTTGCGTTTGTGTGTTTTAAAGCGTGTATGTACTTGTATGGTGGGAGAACGGTAACAATAAAGAAATCTATTGGCTTTAGTTTTGCTAGCGTTTTTTTCACACACTAAAAAAAAGTACAATTATAACTATATAATTAACTATAAATTTGTTTTAAAAATATTTTTTTCCAAGAAAAATATCCGAATTAAATTTTTTTTGAGCCCTGCCACTACTCAACTGTTGGGTGGATGATTTTCGGTCAGTAGAAAGCAAGGCTTTAATTAATGCGTCACTAATTGTATTGTATCACAATCTTCTGCTATATATTTGCAGATGTTTTTATATGTCATGATTTTAAAGATTACGTCTTGAGCGTTTGATTTTTCCTTGATGCTGATGTGCTTTTATTACATTTAGATTTCAACGAAATATTAAAATTAAAAGGAAACGAATTATGCCATAATGAATGTCCTTAAATAATGTAGCCTTTGACAGTAAGCATCAGTGTTTCTTTACATGATTGGAGGAGGGGGGCGGGGTGGTGCTGGATTTATGCGTACCTTGGAAAAAAATCCTGCAGGCACCCCTGTATAATAACACTAATACTGACTGTCAAGGCATTTTAGAATGGGCAAGGCATTTTAGAATGATCAAAACAACATTTCCAAAGTTTTACAGTGTGCTCAGCCTGCTGGTTTGACCAATGGCACACATATTTATCATCACATGATCAAACAAAATTGAAAAAGACTTTTTTAATGCGCATACTGGAATTTGACAATAAAAGTGGTTCCATTGTAATTTAAGCGCATATTTCTTATTGGATAAAAAGTTTATCTTTCTCAGTTATGCGCATGTTTTAAATGTTTTTAATTTATGTGTGCATATAAATAGGTGGATGTAAACACAGCTGTTGAAGCAGACAAAACTATCTAAAATGTTACTCTTAATATTATCTTGTTTGTTGATCTGTTGTATAAAATCAGTCTTTACATTTGCAGTTGTGCTTGTGCTTATATATTCAGGAAAATGTGGTAGTACTTTTGTTACATATGTAACCTGTATTAAAATAAAAAACAATTGGTTTAAATGTGTTTTAAATTGTAACCAAATGTCATTATATTACAGTTTTCTACCTTTTTTGATCAAACATATGTAGCTCAATTGAGCATAAGGGACTTTCTAAAACATTTAAAGAAAAATCTTACCCATCTCAAATTCTGAAACGGTCTCATGTACCAAATATATGAGATGGCCTTATAAGACTTAATAAATGTGATAAAGCATACAAGTCATATGCACTGTGCATACAGATATGGAACAACATGATGATGAGTAATACATTTGAATTGTTGGGTGAATTATTCTTACAGTGGATTCATGTGGAGACTTTAACCCTCAGTTCTAGCTGTCTCCATCTGCTCTGTGAACACAGTACCCAATTATTGATCTGTTCTGTTTTTTGTCTCTGCAGGGTGTGGGTCTTTCAGTTCACGGACAGTTTCGTGTGGCCACTGAGAAGACACTATTTGCCATGCCAGAGACGGGCATTGGTAAGAGGCAGACCATGTTTCTCTATCTCCCTGTGGAGCATAACTGGGTTATAATCTAAGTTTACATTAATAATGCAAGGTAGCTTTGATTTCACAGGAATCAATAGTACTTTATCTCCCCAAAAATGTTGAAAATTGATAGCATGTGCCAAAAAAACATCTTATTTTTCCTGGGATCCCATTTTGTCTTGTTATCCACTGTGTTTATTTGACAAAAAAACATGCACATATTTAAATATAACTTTGCATCTCAAATGTTAGATGTATCCAATCTTTCAATTCTAGACCAGCCAGATTGAGTTATAGAAATCACCTCTTTTGCAACTAAAAAAACTCTTTGGGCCCACAGACTTCTCAAAGTAATCTTTTAAAGCAGACGGTTCAGGTCAGTTTAATGTGGAAACAGTGTTGAGAGATGTTGTGGACTGGAGCACCTGTCCGATGCTTTGCTCTTTGAATGAGCCGCATGCTGAAACGCTCCACAGACAGCGTGAATGGAAGGAATTCTGGCGATGCAGACGGCATGCCATTAATCTGCTGCTGATATGTATGTGGGTGGGTCTCGTTCCAGACGTGGAGCCATCCAATCATTCTTGCTCTTTAGTATGAATATTTAATTTCCTCAACTCTCATCTGGTCAAGGTTTGGTGGAACGCTCAGTGACATAATTAAGCAAAGTGTAAAAGCAAGTGTGTTTTAGAGATTGAGCACAAGCAACTTACAAGTGTCGAGTTGTACATGAAAAACTTAAGAAAATTTGTGCGTCAGTAAAGTGTACAGAGAGAGATTAGGCATCGATTACACACCAGTCACGCACCAGTAATTCAAATAAAATACAATAGTAATTTACAGTAAAAAGCTTTTAAACCATATTAAAGACTCCCTATTTTGCATTAAAAAAGGGTCATATTTTGGTTTTGGGGTTCTCCAACAACAGTCTGATAAGCCTGCAAGATCAAATAACTATTTCATTGTCTTTTAATATGCATTGTTTTTTACCTAATTATCCCAACGACTCTTATAAAATTAATTCAGCGATTTATTTGTTCCCAAACCCCTCATTAGCGCAATGCTGATCTGTGCTGATTGGTCCGATGACCCAGTCTGTTGTGATTGGTTGACTGAATTGAGCGTGAGACAGAGAGAAATTGAAGTAGTCAAGAGTGTAGAGTATATGTGAGGCCAATGCAGGAGTGCAATGCAATGCAGTTAAACACCAGCATATACTCTATTCTTAACCATAATACACATTCAGCCGCACAGTGGCAAAAGCTGAACTATTTTGAAACTTGACCGCCAAGTGTGTAGGACCAGCTGATGGTGGCCATTGCATTGACATAGAATCTAAATCCGTAAACAAATCGACATGCGTCGCGTTTTCAATGTGGTTTTAGTCGTGATATGAGAATATAGAGTTAACCAGATACAGTACAAGCAAATAACAGAACACAAGTAAATACATAATTTGCGAGCTGGAGTAAGCAAAAAGCCATTTTAATCACACTTAAGTTACTTTCACTTGTGAAATGGAGGAAGCTGAATCATGAACTGTGTACTGATAAAGTTCCTGTCAAGCTCTCAAAGTCCCATACATCAATAGTCCTTTCTGATCCTTCCATTTAAAAAACGGCCGACGAATCTCCTGTTGTAAAGATGTAAATTTCTAAAGCACTTGTCAGAAAAAATGACGGGAACACAGCACAAGGCTGGGGCTATAATGCTGAGGTATTTTTTCAAAAATAAACTTCAAGCACTGACTCTTTTCAGCCTCATCTTAAGTTAGGGAAAATAAAACTAACTTTCCCTCACACTTCAAAACACAGCGTCTTGGCGACATGATTTAACCGGGATCCGCTACAATGTTTGTCTTCCTTTTTTTCTTTCTAACGTGTTTTTGGGCAAGGCCGGGGGTTTCAATTATCCTGGGTCTGCGCATGCAACAAATGGGTGGAGCTTGGGTTCTGTATCTACGTCATGCTGACACGGCTAAAGACTCGTTACTGTGCTGATTCATTTGAACCACTCTGAGTTGACTCTTTTATAGATGAATCAATAGTTTTAAAGATCCTTAGCTGGATCTTTTACTTTACTTAGAGCTGTGTTACACACTGCATGGAAGGTCATTTTCAAAAACCCATAATAGGGGCTCTTTAATCTTTATTGAGTTAAAAAGTACAATTACTCGAGATTGGGATGTTAAGCCAAATCGCCCAGCCCTATAGGTGATAAAATTAAAACAAAATGTTTCCACATCTGCCATTTCATAACCATTCACGCTGCGTCTTGCTTTTATTCCACACGCTTTAGATTTTTTTCACTCCGCATTCTAATCACACACGGTGAAAGGCATGTCTGGAGCCTTGATGCAGAATAATTCATATTGCCTGTGATGAATACTCTGCCCTTGTCCCCATCACATGCTCCCACACATGTAGGCAGAAATTTGCCTTGGCTATTGTAAGTCATTCTGGACTCTTAATGAGAGTGCTTTACAGCACTTCCTCCAGAGCTGCGCTGTGTCCTTCACTCTTGCAGGCCTTGAGCAAAGACTCCCCGCGGGACTGTTGGAGTGGCAGGAAGTAGTGCTAATCACGCTCTGTGACACATCTGTTGTGCGTCTGTGCATGTGTGTGTGTTTGATTGAGTGAATGCCCAGCGTCTGTGTGCCATCACCCGCTAATTCCATTAAGAGCCTGTGTCTCTCAACCTCAGCTCAATGAATAATCCTCTTTGGGTTTGCACTTGTCTTAATGGTTTATTCTGTGTTAAGGCGGCCAGCTTCGTCTGTCTGTTACTTTGTTAGAGTTTCCTCCTTGACCTGAGGTAGTTAAATAATTATTACATCATGTAGATTCATGAATATTTCCTTTGCACATCTGAATCCTTTGAAGAATCGATTTGAAGTGTGACCCAGTTGTGTTGGTGTGCTGTATCTCCCCTATTTTGCCTCACGTCCTGTACCATCACGCAGCGTCAGCATTTTGGTAATCATCACTTATGCTGAATGAGGTGTGAGGATCTATACAGAATATGTAGACTTTTTTAATAGAAAAATGTGCAGATTTGTACATTTTAACATTTTAATTTTTTTTTTACATACGAATTAGTAGTTTTGAATTCCAATTCTTTTATTCTTATCGCATGTTGTTTTTATATTTAAGCAGATATTACAGTCCGTAGATCATTTACAGTATGTAGATCATTTTTTATGCTTGTTTAACACATTTAAAATATTTGCCATTTTGCCACAGGTTAGGCAAACATACAGCACTATACACACTCATGGGAGATTGCTTTATCACTGAAGTTTTACAAGCGGATGATTAAAACCATGTGTAAACAGCATCTATATTGTTTAAAGGGCCATGAAACCCCCATGTTTCAGCAGGGTGTTTTCACACCTCTATTTTAGAAAAAGTCAAGAAAGTGGGTGTGTCTAGCTTTGTTTAGGTGGGAGTGTCGGGGGAGGGAAAAGGGAAAGGATTTAAATAAAAATGGGAGTTTCCATTTGGGCACGCGCTGATTTTCACCGAGGCAAAACAAACACACACACAGGGGAGAAAGACAGTGACTGTGTTTAATGACGGTGGAATGTTTGATACTGCACGTCGTATAAAGGCTGATTTATACTTCTGCGTCAAACGCCGGCACATGCTACGGCATTGACGCATAGCCCTTCGCTGTGGCCGTCTGCGTCACTGACGTGCACCTCTCAAAAAATGTAACTACACGTCGCAACAACGCGTAGCGCAAGCTCTGTGATTGGTCGGCTTGGTAGCGCTGAAGAGTCTGGGCGGGACCTAGAGCCTCGCGAATGGTGCGAGCCCAATGGACCGATTGTTTACAAGTGTGGAGTCCCGTGAAGGAGCTCCGGATGGAAAGTTTTGTTTTGTGTTTACCTCATAGTTAAAGTTATTGCACGTCCGCCGGTTCCTGCCTCAAAATGAGCGAGTTTGAGCCACTTGTACATCCAGGAAGTGTTCAGGAAAAGCAAAACAGCAGCGAAGAAACTCGACACAGAGGAACATTTACACCTCACTGCCAACTAGCGTTTCGGATGTGTTAATTCAGACCAACAGAGACAGTGAGCAGAAGTGTAAATGCACAGCTACGGGCATTGCATGCGCCATGGGTTATGCTGGTTACTTGACGCAGAAGTATAAACCAGGCTTAAGAGAAAAAATCTCTGCATTTCTCTGTAAAAAGCCATGTGTGTATAGACTATCCGGTCACAAAATGCGACGAAAATAAACACGACGGTCTGTAATAGTTTGCTTGCAGTGTTCACATGTTCACACTTGGAGAGCAGCATTTACAGCAAATCTTTCAGTCCATAATATTGTAGTGATGTTAACGTAAACTAAGTAACTTAGAAATCATTTGACTAAGGTCTGTCTTTAAACACTGAAAGAGTACTGCTGACGATACGAACTATAACTTTGCCATATGAATGAACAAAGAAAGGGCACTGATCGCACGCACTTACCAAATCTGTAGAGACAGGACAATCAACACCATCTGGAGCCGTGTCTTTTTTAAAAGGAGACAAGCAGCAAATCCGGATTTCACCATTTCCAGATGAGAAAAGCTCTTGAGTAAAAAATGTTCTGTACAAACATATTTCTGCCGCGTGTCGTGTGCACTGATCCACACATGAGTCCAGTTGCGCTCTCATAGCTGGAGAATGAAAACAAAACCTTCGTTGCAGCACATTATAAACAATAATAATAATAAAGTTTTTTATTCCTTCCCCACTTCTTTTGGCAACATAACGTGGCGTCCCTGTTGCTGAACACTGTTTCAGGTACAAACAGTCTTCGAAGCTTGTATGCATATTAATGAAGTTGCTCGCATACAGAGCTCGCTGATTGGTTTGAAACAAGTCTTACTCATGAATGAATGCAGCACACTCAGAGATGTAATAAGGTACTCCCAGGTAGAGACGATCAGTCTACACGCTGAAATACACGCTAAGATGTCATGGCCGTGACGCAGCTTCAAAAATTAGTTTCAAACCTGAAGTACGAACTTGCTCGAAATAACGTAAAAACAACCAATTTTCTCTTTTTAGTGAAATATATCTGTCCTAATAGTGTTTTTAGTAGTGTGGGGCACATATACGATTATCAACAGCTCAAAAAATGTGTTTCGGGGTTTCGTGACCCTTTAAGCTTGTCTACTTATAACCTTCAAGATGTTTTCAGAAAAGATATAAAAATTTAGTAGTGTAACCGCTCCTGTTAGAACAGTGTTTAGAATGAGACACGTTCTGAGTCAGCTTAATACTTGAAAAATGACCTAAATATGCAATCTGTTTATTTTATTTGATGTTATTTAATCTTTTTGATTTGATTTAGTTGAATTGATATATTTTATTTCAGATAAAAAAACTTCTGTCATAAGCAGTGTAATGAAAGTTTCAATGAAAATCTGATTTTTTTAACCTGTTTCACACGTGTACCAATTTTCTTTTTTGTGAACAATTGTTTTTATTATTTTAATTTTTTGTTTAATATAGAGAGCATACAGCATATGACCATATCGTAAAACAACCCCCGAATCCCACCCCCACCCAGGTGGACTTGTTCTATAATGACAAAACTTAAAGCTTGCTGTGTTATATAAAAAATAAAAAAATAAAAATAATGTAAACCCAAATACAGAGTAGAAGTTAGGTACGTACAAAAAAATAACTATTACATCATGAGATACATGAAGACCATATAAACAGAAAAGCTGTACATTAGAAGGAAGAAACAAAAGATTTGACAACATCAAAAGTTAAATTCCAGGACTTAGCAGTTTTTGACTGAGCTCCATGTATGCGCGCTGTTGATAGTTCCATACTAATAATGTCCAGCAAAGATAACGTGTGCCAATTTTCTATATATACAGCCCCAAGCCATTGTCTGAGCTGCTATTACTATCTGGGGTCACTTAAACAGACATTTGATTGTTCCACTCTGTTTGCTCCTTTTGAGAAAACTATAGTGTTAGGACTCTTTAAAGTGTTAGTTGACCCAAAAATAAATACTTACTCCCCATTTATTCACCCTCAAGTTTGAGTCCAACCTTTGTTTATCTGTTAAACACAAAAGAAGATATTTTATTGGGAACCAGTAGCTATTGACAAAAAATTTGCAAGTCGATAGTTACCGGTTTGCAACGTTCTTCAAAATCTCTTCTTCTGTTTTTGACAAAAAACTCAAACAAGTAGAGGGTGAATAAACCATTCATTTTTGGGTCAGCTCCCTTAAGGAACTGTGTTTTTATATCCTGACTTTGAGTCATGCTCTGCTTTTAAATGCTTTAGGCTATGTGGGATTCCAGAAGGAAAGCACCACAAACAGCATGGCATCAGTAGCCTTGAGCCATTTGTGCTGAGCTGTGGCATTCGCCCATGGTGGCACCTCCCCTGACAGTGTGCCAGCCATCTGTGCACTGAAAATGCAACCCCCAGCCCTGCAACCTGAAGCCCACCCCTTCACCCCCTTCTGATGATGGATTATGGGGCTATTTGAGTCTTTAAACTATGCTGGCCACAAAACAATGCGATTGGGTAAACAACAAGCATAATCTGCATTCATGATATTACATTGGCCTCCTGGAATCAGGTCAAGGGGATCTAATCTTCTCGTGCCTTTTTCACAATTGTACCTCATGCTGGTTGTCTGTGAGGAAACTGATGTCATTTTCTCAGCCCTTGCTACTGAAAAGCACATCATGTTAATAAGATCTATGCCGTTTTATATCCCATCCTGAAGACTGAATACCATGTTTGGTAGCTGAAAGCGTATGGTGCCATTTGTTACTGTTTATGCAAGCCAGGAACAACCTTGCAGGTGCCTGAAGAAAAAAATATGTTTTGTAGTGGAATTTTCAAAGTTATAGAATAAGATATTGACTGAATTGTATTATTGTTATTATTCCTTTTAAAAATCATTAAGACATAAAGGTTTGGGTAATATTTAATTTAGTTTAACAACTAATACGCGTAGAACATTTTATTTTTTACATATAAACTATAAAGGTGTATACAGTACATATCATTGCAATATACAGCGGGGATCGTAAGTATTGAACACATCACCATTTTTCTCAGAAAGCTTATTTCTAAAGGTGCCGTTGACTTGAAATTTTCCCCAGATGTTAGTAACGACCAAATAAATCCATATATGCAAAGAAAATAAATCAAATTAGGTTACAGATTAAGTTATACACAATAAATAAAATGAAGCAGGGAAAAAGTATTGAGGGCATGAAGAAAGGGAGGTGTAGAAAGGCAGTAAAAGACCACGGTGGTCATATCAGCATAATAGTGATCCAAAACACAGACAAAAAAAAATCTCAAATGCTTTCAGAGAAAGAAAATCAAGCTGTGGAATGGCTTAGCCAATCACCTGACTTGAATCCAATATAGAAAATACTAAATAAAGCTCAAATATGATAGATGAGACCCACAGAACCATCAAGATTTTTACACTCTGTTGAAGTCAATAAAAATCACACCTGAGCAATTCATGTGACTACATTCTCTATATGAGAGGTGTCTTTAAGATGCCTTTACCAAAAAAAAGGCTTTTATATAAAGTATTAAATACATTTCAGTAGTTCAGTACTTTCTCCTTGTGTAATACCGTTGTTATTTCACACAACTCATTTTTCAGATTTTTGTTTTGTTTTATTTTATTTTTTATGTTTGTAAATGTTTTAAGTTTTTACCAAAATCTGGTTCAACAGCTCCTTTAGAAATATTATTCCCGGAAAAAAAACATGACATTTAATTAATATTTTAAGAAGCTAACATAATTATTGAGTCATTTGCACAAAAAAAAGTGATGGCTCTATTACTCGCACAAAGTCTTTTTTATTTATTCAAGTATTTTCTGAGTCTCTGTTCTGATATTACTTATGAAATCACTTTGAGAAAATGTTTACTCCTGTGGCCAGATTTCTTTCTGTGTAAAGAGCATTAAAAGTCATGTCTCAGTGGTCTTGTTAATGGATAACAGCATAAACATACAGTAGATATCGAGTGTCACTAATGCACAACAGTTAGAAAGTGTCTTTTCTGCATTAACTTTCTAAATAAAAATAACAAAAAAATCTTATATGAAGAATCATCCAGCTCTGAATTGAATTTAGTCAGTGGAAACAGTATTTGAAAAATGTAGTAAAAGTACAAATGTTGCTGTTTTAGAAATATTACATTACTTTACAAATAAAGTGATCTTCTGGTCATCTCACTCAAATCAATGTAAACAATTATTAAATATAATATAAATTATAGTGGGGTTTTTTGATGAAGAAAATGTTTAAATGGCTTTGATTTTTATTTTTGTGTTTTTATACTGTAGGTTTGTTCCCTGATGTCGGTGGTGGCTACTTTCTGCCTAGACTTCAAGGCAAGCTGGGCCTTTTTCTCGCCCTGACAGGTTTCCGCCTCAAAGGACGAGATGTCCAGAGGGTCGGGGTGGCTACTCACTTTGTGCAGTCAGAGAAGGTAATGTAGTGAAAATTGATGAGTTCATCTGAGGTTACCCATGTCTGATTGGCCAAATAAATGTCAATTTACCTTTGTGTCCAGAAATAAATACATACTTAACATTTTACTGTTGTAATGTTTCACAGTTTCCAAAAAAAAAGCCTTTTTCAACATTGATGACAATAGTAAATACTGTATACTACAGGTGTGACGAGATGCCCACTCCAAGAGATCAGAGACGAGACACAAGATTGGGTTCACGAGACGAGACAAGACGAGACGATATTTATACACTATTTAAAAGAAATCCTTAATGATAAAACATGGAATAATGGAATAGTCTATATATATATATATATATATATATATATATATATATATATATATATATATATATATGAAAAATAGATTTTTAATAAAAACAAACAAATTAATAAATCACAAAATGCAAAACAATTAGTTTTTTTTTTTAATCAACTTGTAATGAATTTACTTCAATTTAATGAACATGCATATCATTTTAGGAACATGCAAACACTTAAAAATATTTGTTAATATATAAATGAAAATAGAAAACTCTACTGACCGGCTTTTCCCCTAGAGAATTTCAGAGTATTTACATCGCAGACCTTGATGGTCAATTCAGATTTTTTGACAGTATCCGATTTATGATGACTTGCTTACATTTATCATCTTTTTAAAGTTCTCTTATATTCAATTCTCTGCATTTACTCTGCACAGGGCATAAGGTGCAATGACTAGGGGAAAAAAAAGAGCGGGCGCTGACTAACAGCTGATAATAAATGAATGCTCTTTTCTCCATTCATGTATTTAATCTGTTTACAGGGTTTCATTTTTTATTTTGTTTTTTGACATGTTGTTTTGCTACAGTTTATGATTTATGATTATGATTTTATATAGGATCTTTTAAACCAGTAGCTATTTTAATGTCATGCTCATGGCCTGATTTATGCATATGATGTATGCAATAGTTTTATATTAGTTTATATTGTGAGGCGGATGTTGCACTCTTTCTCTATCTCTCTCTTGTTAAACATGCTTAAATACTTGTGCTACATGACAATATAAAAGCTTTTTTTTTTTTTTTTTCTAGTAATATAAGATTTAAGGTTTGACTCTGCTGAAGTCTGTTCTTAAATAAAAGTGTCAGAGTTGACATAATTCACTACAGTCGTGTGCCTTGACAGGAGAAAATCTGGCTTACACTGCAGACATGAGGTCATGGTTACGATTCATATCGGATATATTTCCACATATGATATGAACAAGGCCTAAATCTGATTTGAGTAAATCAGACACCTTGTGATTTTTGTTTCTCCTGCTAACACGCATACGGGCCATATATGATGCTCTTAACTGGGTGGAGTAACTACTTCTTTAGAGAAGAACCCATAACTTCTTTGTGCAAATTATATTGTTTTACACGCACACACATTTAAAAAAAAAAACATGCACTCGCTTTCCATATTAATTGAAATATATGTAAATGGCACAAAGGGTTTGCTTTACTAATATTATTGAGAAGTTGAACATTACATATTCTATTCTAAAACATAAAATCCATGTCATATACAGTACAGATACTTAATAAATAACCAACTATAAATTAAAATAATTAACGTACGCTTTTTGCTTTCACAAGCTTTGGAAACGTAACATAAATAATAGGTCACTTTTAAATAATAGGTCACTTATTGTTTTCGCCATGAGGCTGTGTTCAAAATGACATCAATGTTTTCAAAGTGCACTGCGAAGGGAGTACGATTGTAAACATGACGATCGCTAAAACTGAACGGTAAAAATAGTTTGAAAGCAAATGACACCTAAGAGAGATGACCTTAATGCTTTTTTATTTTTAATAATTCCAACTTTAAATGTTAGAATGTTCTAAATGAATAGGGCACAGAGGGATAAGTGGCAATAGAACACAGCCAGGAACTGTGTTTCAAACTACAGCTCCGGAGGTGTAGTTGCGAGTGCTCAAGTTTGCGACGCAGTTTGCGAATGTTCGTTGGAGCGACAGATTTGGGAAACAGCAAATCAACAAACTATGTTTGTAACGACAGAACTTGCAACCTTAATTGGCTAACAATGGTTTTGGGAAACGCACCCCAGCATGTGTTTTATATGTAATATGTAATTAAAGGGTTTTATATGTAATAAAGGGACTAAGCTGAAAAGAAAATGAATGAATGAGTAGATTTGTTGTTAAATGACAATCCCTTCAACCAAATTGGTAAAGAGATTTATTTTTGTCATATGCCACCAGAATAACCTGATTCACTCCTAAATATTGCTGTGGATGAAATATAGGCCAAATTATAATTATACCTGACAAAAAGATGTATTTAGAGTTGAACTTTGTTTGTTTAACATATATAAAACCAGAGGAATTCATATCAAACTGTAGACAAATAGCTAAAACAGCAGCAGCAGCAGCTATTACGATTGGAGTAGAGTTTTAATAGAGTTTGAAGAGGATTAAATTCATGTTCAAGGTAATAATGGCTGTATGGGAGCTGTGCTGGTGCTGCCCTCCTGGGCTTTTGGGCTGCTTTTCTTGCATTTGGTGGTGAAATGAGAGAAAGTACTGAAAGGAGAGGACTTAGTCAGCGTTTCTCAGGCTTGTCAGTGATCTCTGGGCAGCAGGGGGCGACTGAGTCCTGACACGACATGTTCATGTGCCAGAGGTGAAAATGAGGAGCAGGGCTTGGCACTGCTGGAGACAGGCACACACACACACACACACACACACACACACACACACACACACACACACACACACACACACACACACACACACACATACATCCTCTGGCCAAGGACAGACGACCAGCAGGATCTGGCATATACGCTATACACAGAAGTGACTTGTGATAAAAATAAACACAAAGGGCTCTGAGGACAGGGCGTTAGTTCATACAGCAGAACTAGTAGTGAGCTGATTCAGTTTGTAGTACAAGTGATGCAAATCGACACTGAAAATAGTGCAATAGTTCAGGCTGTACTAATTAATTTATCGTAAAGTAGGACAAGAAATAAAAAAAAAGATATTTCCTGCCTAGAAAGCTCGCGGAAATAAAAGATTATTAGAAATCGTAGAAAAACAGAATTTTTTTAATGGATTTAAATTGCTGGAAAAAAACTCTTTCTGAGATCTCTGTTAAGCTATTTCTAAATTCTCATTTTTTCATCGTAACCATGCGTTCACATCACCGCCGGCAAATATGGTCCAATATGTTTAGATGTTTTCTAATGACATAAAACAATTAAAAGCCATTGGTGTATTTTGTGTTCATGTTTATGTGCTAGTCTAATTTCAGCATGCTGTTTATAGACGTCGTTTAATAGCCTTGGTCTTCACGTTTACGGTAATTTGTGCACACCTTACATTACAAGCTGGGAAATCCACATAGAAATAATTCACTTGTGCTTTGTTTTGCTTGGGAACTAATATAGTCCGAACCAAAATGTATTCATTATTAAATGTGTTTATTACTCTGGAGCCCTCTCAAGCTGTAAACTATGATGCCAAACTATAGCCATAGCTAATTACCATAAAGTTGACCAGATTTTAACTCCTCTTGATGCTCACACAAAACAAAATCCCATTGATTTTACCGTTAAAAATGAATGACTTCTTGCATTGAATGAATGACTTCCGACCACCTTGATGCTCTCACCGAAGTAAAAAGGGGAAAAAAATGGTCACACTTTATTTTGATAGTTTGTTTGTTGAATTAAGTTACATTTAGGCCGGTATAAGATTCTGATGGTATGATAACCTTGGATAAAAATATCACGGTGTTGTGCTCACTGCTCTAAAATATATTCTTTTTAAATGTCTGGGTAAAAAAACTAAGTTTTTTCCTCTTTAAAAACAATATACTTTATTTTTTGATAGATAATATTTTGGAGCAGTAAACACGTCAGGTTATATAATTCAAATAAATCATTGACCTCTGCTGTCTTCATTAGTTTTAAAAACACAAATTTCTTTACACATCTTCGGATATCTTTTTTTGCTGGAGATACTGTTTTCCTAAAAAAAACAAAAACAAAAAAAATTTAAATAAAAAATCGTACACATACCTTAGGGACGGTATTACAGAAAATTGCGGTGGTTTTAAAACCTTGACTTTTCAAAACCGCGGTATAACTTGAAAACAGGTATTGTCCCATGCCTAGTTACATTGCATCTACATGCCAACTAATTCTCATTAGATTATAAGTAGACTGTTAGGTTGGGGTTAGTGTAAGTTGACATGTACTTGCAAAGTTTCTTATAGTCAGTTAAATGTCTGTTGAAGGAGCAGTATCAACAGAAATGAAGCAGACAGTCTGCTAATACTCAAATGAACTATCAAAATAAAGTTTTACCAAAAAATCTTAAATATTTTCAATGTAGGACTTTAATTAAACATTAATTGTCATGCTACCTTCAGTATCCCAGTTATATACCTTATATTCTGTTTGATTGTATAGTGTGTTGCATGGTGCATATAGTTCCAAAGCAGCTTGTAGCTAGAATAGTGGTCTTTAAATCTGGAACTTATCTAAAAAAATAACTTACGATAACGGTCCAAAAAACTAGTACATCCAAATGTATATGTTATAGAAAAATTTTTTTTTTAACATTGTGATTGGATTGACGAAATGAGACAGCCACATCCACCATTTTGTACCACCTCCACTTTTTGACAAAAATCAGACACGCATTCACAGCTACCAGCAGATGCTGAGGTAGAGGTCTGCACTAGATTTCTGCGGCGCGGGAATAAATTTCCGAATAAATCGCGGGAGCGGTCGGTAACGGGTTTAATTTGGGACGGGAGCGGGCTGTCTAGCAATATCGCGGATATTGCTATGCGAATGAGAGAGAGAGAGAGAGCTTTGCCTGTGTGTGTGCTTGGTGCTTGTGTGTGTGTATGTTAGTGCGCGCGCGCAAATAAGAGAGAGAGAGATCTTTCCCAGATAGCAAAATACACTCGGGCCAGTTCCGGCTAGATTCTCGCCTGCTAGAGACTTACCACTCAGCCCGGCTCTGGCTGCCGGACTCTGGATGCTTGTGGACTCACTGCCCGATTCCAGCCCGAATCAATCGGGCCAGATGCGGCGGCCGTAAGCGAGCCGACGCTGCCACATCTGCGCCGGAATCGGCCCGAGAGTAATGTGCGCTGCGGCCCGGAGCTGGCGCGACTCAGTTTTTATATACCTTTATATAAAACATTTTGGTATTACATTGGTACTTGATACATGGTATTACAAGCCTTTGAGTTGATATAACAGCAAACGCCTGTGTGTCTGCTTGGTGCTTGTGAGTTTGTGTGTGTTTGTTTATACAGACAGCTTGGCTGTCTGGACTGTATAGCTGGGGGATTTTCGGTTTTGTTCTCCCCCGCTCTTTAGCGGGATCGGGCGCGGCGGGCAAAAAACGGGGCGGGTCGGGCAGCGGGACAATAAGTTCTTAATATAAGCGGGAGCGGTCGGGTTCGGGCTAAAACCTGGCGGGTGCGGGCGGGAGCGGGATTCAAAATTTAGTCCCGCGCAGATCTCTATGCTAAGGCACTTGCCTTGTATTTAATTACATTTAATGTTATTCTTTTTTAATAAGATAATATTTCACTTGATGAGATTAAAAGAACAATGCAAAATGTGTTCGTTTCAAGTAGCAAAAATCTCATGATTGGGATTCCACCTCCGCCTCATTTTGAGCCAGGAAAAACCCTGCTCTGCTGGGACATTTTATACCCCTTTATACATATAAATAGATACATGCAATGCAGCCAAAAGAAGCTATTTTCATATTAGGAGCATGTTTGAGATGACTTTAAAGGCAAGTAGAGGGCACACTATTTGAGATCAGAGCTGTTGTTTCTCTGTGCCCCTGCAGTTAACATCAGGAAACACCTTGTAAAAATTCCTGTTGTAAACAACACATTCCCTTCTCTGCTTCTCAGCATCTGATCTAGACCCACAATATTTTTTGGATACCTGTAGTTGAGAATTGTCTCATTTTTCTGTCTTATCAGATTGAATCTCTAGAGAAGGATCTTGTTGACTTGAAGTCTCCATCTATCAGCGATGTGGCTCAGCTACTGGACTCTTATCAGGAACAGGTATGTGGCAGAGACAGATGTTACTCTTTAAAATGCTCTGTGCAGACTTTTATAACCTCTGTGCTTGTGGTTACACTACACAGTGCTGGGCTTGTATAAGCTGTTACCATAGCCACAGTACAACACTGCTGGATCTGCTTTCAGTACATCTTTATATGGTTCAAATGAAATGCCATGTGGCAACACAAATGTGGAAGACTTTCTCGTATCAAATGGACGGCCCCACGTTGTACACTGAAAACAAAGATTCATTGGATTTACTACATTTTTATTGGATTTACTACATTTACAATTTATATGTGCTGAATATAAATATGAAGTATAAATATATATTACGAAGTAATAATTTACCTAATTTGTTTGTTTAAATTCAGCCCATATAAATTGTTTTCTGGCACTTACTTTAAAAAAAAATTGTAGTAAATCCAATGAATATTTTTTTTGTACTGGCATACCCTTTATTTCATCCACTAAACCAAAAGGTATTTTTAAAAATGTTGAATGTTTAACCCTCATTAGAGCTTTGTGAAATAGTTAATCCAGGATCATCCTAAATCCCTGGTCAACTGAATCCTGCGTTATTTTGTTTCATGTTTCACACACCTCATGATTTCCCCACCGTTAACAATTAATCCTGCTGGTATTTCACTCTGTACAGAACTAAAACCTTGGTTCTTCTCTGACTACAGCATTTTCTTCACTTCAAGCCAGTATTTTAAGCATCCAGTGCACTTTTTGCAATCTTCATTTAGTTTTAAATACTAATAAAACAAAATGTATGGTTTTTAACAGAAACTTACCACTTGTTGAGTTTCCTCCTAAAATGTCCTCATTGGACGGTACTGAAATTGATTATGTTGATTGCTTTCTTGGTATCTGGTTATGATCATTTGAAACTCACATAAATGAATTGCTCCAAAAGCTTAAAGCCAATATTGATTTCATTCACAGAAACAAATCTACCTTTACGCACTCTTCAAAGCAGCATTTGGTCGAATTAACAGTATTAACAATTCTGGATTATGGGGATTTAATTTCCAGATTAGCTTCAAATCTCTCCTTCACAAACTGGATGTTATTTACTATGCAGCAATTGGTTTTGTTACCGGTGCGCCATTTAAAACTCATCACTGTCAAATGTATTCCTTATTGAATTGGCCTTCTCTTCCATCACATAGTCAAATTCATTGGTTTCTGATCATTTACAAAACTCTTATTAGGAAAACTCCACTGTATTTAGTCACTTCTTAACATTCAGAAAACATGTAGAAATCCACACTCTTGTTTTATTAACCTTAGCATACCCAAAGTTCGTACTTCATTTGGTCACTACTGTTTTCAGTTTGCTTGCTGATGCTTGGCATCATCTGCAGCAGACCTAAAAGCTCAACAATTTTATTCTATTATCATCCTTTAAAAATTAAATCCAGTTAATAGTACAAGATCACTGTGACTGTTTTCAATTTTTCCTTGGCTTTATATGTTATCTGCATTTGTTAAATTGTTAGTGTATTGTGTCCTTGCTGCTTTGTACTGTAACAGCTGTAACAGCTGCTTTGTACTGTAACAGTCATTATTGTAAAGGAGAACTGGTCCTCAATTGACTTACCTGGTTAAATAAAGGTTATTTTCATTCTCATTTGCAGTGTTAAGCCCAAAGTATAATCCACATAGCGGCAAAAGCTGAACTATTTTGAAACTTGACCGCTGTACATGTGTAGGAACAGCTGATGGTGGCCATAGCAACAACAAACAACAGTGGATCGCAAGCTCACAAATGCATTTATCCGTAAACCAAGCGGCATGCGTCGCGTTTTCAACATGGTTTTAGACGCGATATGTGAATATAAAGAGTAACCAGATACAGTACAAGCGGTTACAAGTAATAAAACACAAATACATAATTTGCAAGCTGGAGAAAACAAGAAGGCAACCATTTTAATCACAATTAAGTTAGTTTCACTTGTGAAATGGAGGAAGCTGAATCATGAACTGTGTACTGATAAAGTTCCTGTCAAGCTCTCAAAGTCCCATACATCAACAGTCTTTTGTGTTCCTTCCTTAAACAAACGGCCGACGAATCCCCCATTGTAAGCATGTAGATTGCTGAAGCACTTGTCAGAAAAATGACTGGAACACAGAACAAGGCTGGGGCTATAATGCTGAGGTATTTTAGCAAAAGCAAACTTCAACCACTGACTCTTCACAGCCTCATCTTCGGGTGAAGAAAAGAGCAATAACTTTCGCTCGCAATTCAGAGCCAAGTGTCTTCGTGACATGATTCAACCCGGATCTGCTACAGTGTTTGTCTTCCTCTTTTTCTTTCTACAGTGGGGCCCAGGGGTTTCAATTTTCCTGGGTCTGCGCATGCATAAATGGGTGGGGCTTCAGTTCTGTATCAACCTCACACTGAAACGGCTAAAGACTCGTTACCGTGGCGATTCATTCAAACCACTATGAGTTGACTCTTTTATAGATGAATCAATAGTTTTAAACACGGTGCACTTTCAGATTTAAGCCTTAGCTGGATATTTTACTTAGAGCTGTGTTACACACTGCATGGAAGGTCATTTTCAAAAACCCATAATAGGGACTCCTAAAATTTTCAATTTTGTGTGACATAATTCAATTTTGTAATAGGACATGTCCAAAAAAAAAAAAAAACTAGACAATTGCATGGTGAACAAATTATATCACATTGTGAGTTAATTGAATCATTCCATCTCTAAATATTCAGAAATGTATAGTTATTTTGAGTATACTAAGCCTGTCTGAGTCCTCTATTGTGTTTTACTGTACACATTACACTCATTATGGCTTGGTGGTATGGATTTATGGCCATCTGCGGTTAATGCTGTGTAGTTGTGTGTGTTGAACAGGAGTGTTCGAGGCAGGATTATTGTGACTCATATAGTCTTTACGTCACACGGCTTTCCAGAAATCCTCGAGAGAAAGAGAGAGAGAGAGAGAGAGAGAGAGGGAGAGGGAGAGACTGATGTCCAGCAGCTTTCATGCTCCGGACAACAGATTAGCTTTCCCCTTTTGATCCTTCCCTTTATTCTGCTCTCTTCTGCCTCGACACATCTTGATAGTAAGCTAATTAAAAATCCAGACGCTGTGAATTATTTACAGGTACTCTTTGCACTGTGACATGGCACTAATGGCCAGTGGATTTTATTTACATCTGGCAGTACTTCTTCTTCAAAGAGAGTTTTATCTACAGCAGCTGTCACTAAACCATAAAATCCTACACTTATATCAACTTTGATCATTAAGGTTGCACTTTAAAGCCTGTGGATTGTTTGATACTAAAGATAAAATGTAGGTGTATCCACACCTCAGCAGATAAAGGAGAAATATTGACGCATTCATTCTGTATTCAAAGTGTGCTTATGGTGAATTGTGGATTCTGAGGGAAAAAAATGTATTGAAACAGAGATGTCTGTGCATTTGTAGAGCAGGCGTAAAATGAAATGTCACTGGGATTCATGTCACAGCTTTTAAGCACTAAGAGAGAGTAAATTAGCTCAACCAATATATACACCCACACAGAAAATGAAATGATAAATATACTTGTTGTGAAAGAGTCGGTGTAGTCAGTGTTTCACAGTGTATAAGCATTGTGTATAAATATAAATGTGAGTATGTAATATCAAAATATGATTGAAATAAAAGTTTAATGTCATCAAAGCCTCTTTAAGGCAGGTCATTTCACTCGGTGGCCATCTTTAAAATGACTTTCGGGCAGTATGCTCGGGCATTCTATCAAAATGAAGAAACATCAAATTCTTCAAAACTGTTAGCCAAGCTTACAATTACATTACATTTTTGGAATCACCAATAAAATTAAAGAACAACCATCTCATAAGTTTCATTTCTAAACGTACAAATCAAATAAAATCAGCATATTTTCAGTATGCCTAAGCTGATGATGTGCATGCGCCCTTGAAAGAAACAAAATCACGACACCAACCCCATTTATGGCCATGTTACACATTATCATCCTTTGGAGAATCCTTGTCTGATTTCACTGCTCTTCTGAATTAATTGACAACTTGGTCTTGATGGTGAATCCCCTCCTGTAAAAACAGCTACTCTTTGTTTACAAGTTTGTGGGCGTTTGAGTAGTTGCCGTTATGTGATCGGCATTTGACAGGACGGACTGCGTTCGTTTCATACAGATTACAAAAGCAAAAAACTTTTGTTTTCAGGTTCCTTGTTCATTTTAAAGTACAGGTTTCAAGCTTTATGTGAATATATTTCTTATGTCTGTGAAGCAAATAATCACTGAGATTTTGTAATCTGTTTGTTGACCACCATACTGCTGTAAAAGCACACGTTTGGTCCATGCTATTCCCCCAGAGAAACGTCAGTCTATAGCGATCTTATTGGCTCCTGTACTTTATTCGCCTTAATGACTGTTTCACTTTTTCCCATTCAATACTATATGAGTGACATGTCTTTTGTATTCTAAAGTCTTTGGTGTCATTCAGCATTACAGAAAAATGTATGTAAATATGAAACAACATATTTATTCTGATTCATACTTACTTTTACAATTGTCATTGTAAATGTTATTTTAAAAAATGGCAAAGAAGTAAAATCTGGTAGTTTTAAGAATAGTTGCATTTAAAATGACAATTAATTAGAAGTTTGGGTCAGCACTTTGATTCTGTATGATAGGGCTGTATGATATTGTTGGAAAAAGCACACATTGCGATATTTTGAATTTCTGCGATTTATATTGCTATATATTCATAACTTAAAGGTGCAGTAGGTGATCTGCCGAAATGCATAATATATTTAAAACACTGTCTCTCTCTTGCCGTCCAAAGCCACGCCTCCTGAAATCACGAATGCGCACCTTAAAGAAGACATTAGACAACCCACTAGATCATGTCATTTGCCAGTTAGAAAACTTTATAGTACTTTATAGTACTACAATTTCAACGAAAGACTGTATATCTAACATGTTTTAAGTTGTGTAGCAAGGAAAACTTGCCATAATGTGCAATATTTTATGCATGTAAGGATCACTGGTCTCACTCTCTCACGCGATTTGGCCTAAAGTGACTACTGTATGTTTGGTGCTTGGCGATGACGTGCAGGAATTACACTTATAACTATCCATACTTGCATGCTATTTCAGAGAGAATATTCAGAGTAGCGGTAAACAATATAGGGAACGTGTCACAGGTTGTCATTGAACAAAAATGAACCAATGTGAATATAAAACCTTCAGCTTAGTAAAGCAGGCAAGCTGGAATAGCGCTATTTACTTATGTTTTGTTGTTAAACTAAATAAAAATCTACATTATCAATGCTGTAAAAGGTCAATTATGCAACTAAAAATAGTCACATCAAACTTTTGCTGAAAATTGTTAGTGGCTGAACAACACTACTGTGCATAAAACCCATTTGTACAGCAAAATCTACATAAGCTTTTCGTGACTAAAATACTTTTTAAATATAACATTGCCTGTCTAAAAGAAATACTTCAGCCATGGTGTCGTCTTTCCTCCAGCATGCAAAAGTAACTCCAATATTGATTCAGGATTTTAAAGTTTTGATTTGAGCATTTGTTTATAACGATGTCAATATCTCGTGTCCACGTACATGTGCAAACGGCAGATCTGGATGAACAGTGTGCACAGATGTACAAATCTACATTTGCTGACAGACCGTTTGGGCTACTTACCAGAAATATGGAAATTATTGGGCCAACAATTTTTAGCTGAATAAACATTTATTTTAGTTGCATGCTTAACCCAGAATTATGTACTTTCAACCGGCAGGAAAAAAAAATGTTTCTGAAGACAATCACCTACTGCTCCTTAAATAAATTCAGATTGATTAGGATGATTTTGTCAAGGAGTGCATCCGCATATAATATAATAAACAAATTACAACCAGAAGATAATAAAGTAAAACAAAAATACAAATGAAGAAATCTAACAGTATGCAGGTCCAGAAATAAAATAATCAAATGTACAACACAAATGTATATTCTTCATTGTGTAAATAATTAAATACAATTAACCATTGTTAAAGCTACAAACAATTTATCGTTCCCAAATGCTCTAAACTCAATTGAAAATGCTTGCAAAGGCACAAGAAATGGATAAACTTTCACTTTATTATGGTTAAATGACTCCAAAGTTCTCATGTGTTCTGAACTGTTGTGCCTGGACAACTCCAATACTGACTCCACATTCCACGTCCTGCGATGTGACTATTTTGTATTCACACATTTAGATATCGATGCTTAAACTATTGTGCAGCCCTACTACAGAATGACTGTAATTCTAAGTGACTGACAAGATGGTATAAATTGTCACACTAACTGACATTTATATTGTTGCATTCCATAAAGGTAAAAAATGTAGGATTTATTGTATTTTTAAATTAGACAGGACACACTCGAGTGTCACATTCTGGATGAGACGGACATTAAATTCAGACTTGCCACTATGACTTTCTGTCACCGTAAACTGCCTGAGGAGCATTCTTCAGCTTTCAGACACAGCCATGGTGTCCGCCTGGCAGGACAAAAATGGCTTCAGATACTCAAACACACACAGCCAGTTGGGGATTGCAGTTGTCTGTGCTGAAATACAGCTCTATATATGTGCTTCAGCCGATGTCTAAACACACGCTGCTGTTATATGTCTTCTCAGAGCCATCTGGATGCTGAGAAACCGTTTGTCCTCCAGGAACAGACAGAGGCCATCGACAGGTAAGCCTTATTCTTAAATAAACCTTTTGCTTTATTGATAGAGCCCTAAGTTCTCCCTTCAAATGGAAAACAAATTTTGTAGGCTGGTGGGACAAAGGGACAAAGCTACAGAAGGAAATTAAACAGATGTGAAACTACATAGGCTATAGATAAGAAATGTGAAACGCCCGAAACATGGCAGTAATCATGTGATGCTTACACTTTCATATAAAGGTACTTAATCTGTCACTGTGGCAATACCCCTTTTATAGGAACTTAAACAGATCCTTAAAGGTACATATTAATACCTAAAAAGTACAAACGTGTACCTCATCATAGTACCTTAAAGGGCCATTAAAACCCCCTCGTTTCAGCAGGGTGTTTTCACACTTCTACTTTGGAAAAAGTCAGAAAAGTGGGCGTGTCCAGCTTTGCTTAGGGGGGAGTGTCAAAGAGGCATGGTGTGGGAGTGTCTATTTGGGCGCTCTGACTTTCAGAGTCAAAACACACACACACACACACACACACACACAGGGGACGAAGTGACAGTGTTTACATGGACATCTGTTGTCGAATTATTTGCCAAATTATTAAATGGTGGACTTTAACTGCAGTTTGGCTCTTTCATTCAGGGAATTCATTCATGTGCCTCGCGACAAACGAGATATTTGATTCGAGGAACTGCTGTAAGCGTGTATTTTTCATGCAATGTTTGATACCGCACGGCGAATAAGAGAATAAACACCCTCCGCATTTCCCGGAAACTTAGATGCACTCGGCAGGTAGCGTCAGAAAGCCGCGTGTGTTATTTCGGTCACTAAATGTGGTAAAAATCCTACACGAGGTAAAAGTTTGGTTGTAGTGCTAACATGTTTACACTCAGTGCAATAGTTAACTTAGTTCGATACGAACAAACTGAATAAACAGAGAGCACTGGTTGCTCACTTACCAAATCTGTAGAGACGGGACAATCACCAGCAACTAGAGCCGCGTCTTTATTAAGAGGAGACTACAAGAGATCCGGATCTCAGCGTTTGCAGATGAGAACAGCTCTCAGGTAAACAATAATCCTCCTTAGACACGTAAGTTATTGTTGTCGCGCGTCGCGTACACTGTTAATCCACACGTGACTCCAGCTGAGCTCTCACAGAGAGAAAATGAAAACGAAACTTAACTGCAGCAAACTATAAAAGCAACAATTCACGCTTGTTTTGCCAACACAACGTGGCGTCTCTGTTATCTAAACACTCTGACAGTAATGAATATTAATGAAGTTGCACAATAGAGCGCGCTGATTGGTTTGAACCAAGCTTTACTCATGCATTAATGCATCACACTGTAAGACGTAATAAGACACACTCTGGCACAGACGCCCAGTCTGCACGCTGGAATACAACGCTATTATGTCATGGTCGTGACGCAGCTTCAAAAATTCGTTTCAAACCGGAAGTACGAATTTGCTTGAAATAACGCAAAAACAACCAATTTACACTTTTTAGTGAAATATAGGTGTCCTAATAGTGTTTTTAGCAGTGTGGGACACATATATGTGACGTATATATTTTGTGACAGTTGCAGTTGTGCTGCTTAATATATTTATAGAAAAACAGGATAATTGTTTAAGGAACTTTGCTGAATACAAAATTAAGATCAATTGCATTTATAGGAAACCTTTTTAAATAACTTCGTAATTATTACTAAGATAAATTTTATTCAGAAAAGATTTATTATAAATACAAAATCCCGACTTCAACACATTTTTAGACACGTCCCCCAGCCCTAGCACTATGTATCTGCAACTTTTTTGTATACATGGTATTAATACAACGACTATTTGCATTATTTTTCATAATTTATCAGAAATAATTTTACTGGTCTGATTTGGTGCTCAAGAAAAATTTCTCATTGTTATGACAGTAGTTGTGCAGCTTAACATATTTGTGGAAAAACAGGACGATCATGATGAAAAGACAGTTAAGATGAATAGCATTTAAAGGAAATCTTTTGAAATATCAAAATTCACAATGATTAATTGATTTAGAATATTTTTATTGTGAAGTGATTATGCATAAAATATCATAAATGATTCATTATAAATACAAAGTCCTGACTTCAACACATTTTTTGCCATGTCCCCCAACCCTAGTGTTAATCAGCACTATTTATGTGTGACTTTTAAGTATAAATGATATTAATGACTACTGTATATATTTGCATTATTTTTCATATGTGACGGTCACTGCTAGTCAAAATCACCAGCAGAAAGAGTTCTGGCGTAACTTCACTAGACTTCACACTGGATTAGTTCTACTTTTGCGTTTGTGTCTGTTTCACTGGATAAGCTTTCAACAACTGCCTTAAGGTGCTGTTAAAACTCTGAGACGTCCAGGCTATTTCTATCACTACGAAAGGCCCATAATTATGTGTGCAAGGAAATGTTTTATATTTTGATGAAAGGGCTGAAATGATGAGACTGATAAACATTGCATACGCTTCGAAATGCAGCTTCCACCATCACCAGAGCGTGTGCAGATTATCTTTGCATCTGTTCTTCCGGGGACAAATTATTCATGAGCCTATACCCCCCCTTGTTTACCTGTTTTTTTTTTTGTGTTGAGTTTGCATATGAGCCTTACATAACATCAGTTGATGCTGCACTAATCTGATGTCCCAGGATTAAATCTGATGACTAATTTGGCTTGACTGCACGATGCAGAAAAACTTTCACAGATGGGGTTTTTGTATGCGTTTTTGTGTTTGTGTTTGCAGGACTGACCCTGTGTGTTTCCTTATTGTTCTGTTGTATTAGGCTATTTTCAGCTGGAAGTGTAGAGGAGATCGTGGAGAACCTTAAGAAAGATGGCTCGGCATTTGCACTGAAACAGGCTGAGGTGGGTTTAAGCGATGACTAAACATTACCAAAAATAACAAGGTAAAAGTGAAAGTCATCTCTGCGCCTTCATATCATTCCAAAGCCATGCAGCACAGATATTTCAGTCACAATTTGTATTTCAGACTTGTATTTAGACAAAGCTACTTATGGCTGCGAAAACACCAAGCTGACTTCAAAGAACTGGCAGTGCTGAAATCTGACTGTGTTGCCGCATTGTGTCAGCTGCATCTGGGCCAAAAAGCTTGAACACACCGCAGAGACCCAAAAATGAAAATTCTGTCATCATTTAGTCACCCTCGAGTGCTTTTAAAGCTTTATGAATTTCTTGCTTCTGTTGAACACAAATTAAGATATTTTGAAGAATGTTAGAAACCAGTGGCTATCCACATATACTATGGATGTCAATGGTTCCCGGCTTCTAACATTATACTAAATATCTCCATTTGTGATTTATAGAGAAAGTAATCTCCAATAGATTTGGAGTGTAAGTAAATGATCACAAAATTTTCTTTTTTTGGGTGAAATCCCTTTCATTTGAACCCATTTTATGATGCTTTCTTTACTTAGTCAATTCCAAGTTTTACATCCCCATTCCGTATTCACTTTCATAACACTCAAAGAATGACCAGTATATTCTCACCATTTGGTTTTGTTGATAAAATGAAAGTTAAACAAGTTTGAAACATGATGATGTGAATATATTTTATGAGAAAATATTTATTAAGGGTGGAAATTTTAAGGGACTTCACAATCTGATTTGATTCTGATTATAGTAGTCACTAACATCTTTTCAACATTACATTTTAAGCAAAATTAGAGCTCCTGTTCTTTTGTTTAAAATTAGAATGTGCTGCCATCTTGGCAAAATGATTTTTTTTTTATTAACAAAGTTACATTCAGCATGAACAAGCTCTGAATTGAAATGTCAGATTACAAAGAGCAGTTACAAAGTTCCTATAAACAGTTCTTAGTGAAATTTATTTATAAACTAATTTCGAAAGGATCGTGTGCTTATGATTGCTCGTGGCTGGTTCCGCATTATTTAATTTATGATTCACCAATCAGACGATTCCTAAATCTCCATAAATAATCTAAGTTCCATACCATAGTCATCTTCATTTTAAAGAATCCCCCCTTCCACCCCTACTTCTTCTCCTTACCTAGATGGGCGGCACAATGGCCCAGTGGTTAGCACTGTTGCCTCAAAGCAAGAACATAACTAGTTCCAGTCCTTACCAGGCCAATCCACGTTTCTGTGCGGAGTTCACTTGTTCTCCCTGTGCTCACGTGGGTTCCCCCATTTCCTCCCATCATCCAAAACATACAACTTAAGTTAATTGACTAATCCAAATCGGCACTTAGACGTGCTCCTAGTTAGTAGTTATATCTTCATAACAATCCCTAATTGCACACTAGCTTCAAACAGCAAGGGAGTTCTCAAAATCTACCTGAGCTCAAACTCCCCTCTTGCCCTGCAAACGGGAGAGAACCCCAGGCTCGAGAATCCTATGAACTCAGGGTTCTCTCACGGGACAGCATGCCAATCATGCCAATCAATCATCAGCTAAGTGTGAACTCTTGAATTTTTAAAAAAGAGAGCATCACATTTTGTTATAACCTTTTAAAATGAAATATCCTCAAAGCAAACATGTTTATATAAAAATGATATTTGGAAACCATATTAGAATTGCTTTTTATTTAGAGCCACTGAGAGCTAGCTTTAAAACATAATTCATTGCTTCATTTATTCAACACTTTCAGTTTCATTCGCAGTCCACCCTTACAGAACATTGTAATTTCCATTAAAATAAGTGTTTGTTCCCTTAACATCATTAGAAATAAAAAGATAATACATTCACAATAACTGTAATAACACAATAAATGTAAAAATAAATTATTTTTTCAATAACATAATTTTTTTTGTTATATTAGTTCCAGTTTTGGCTTTAATACTAACTAACCTAATATATGTAAAAATATATATTATTGTAAAGCATTCAATAGAAAATATTTATTTAAAAGAGAGATCTGTGAAAGGTGTAATTATTCAATCATGCTTTTCACTTTTTGCTACTTTTTAACAGTGGTATCGGCCATAAAAGCGTACTGCACAGTACCATTTAGTGGAAATAAGCCATAAAGGTACCAAAAATGGCCAGTTTCCACTGGATCGTATGGTACAGTTCGGTATGCTTTTTATGGCCATTTCCACTATCAAAAGGTACCAAAAAGCGAACCGTACCATACCACTTTTTGGGTACCCTTTCGAAAGGGTACCTAGCACAACAAAAGGGTACCAAAAGGCAGAGCTAGACGTGCAACTGAATGCTCTTGGTTTACAGAGATGCATCACTAGCTCATGCACAAGCCAGGAGAATGAAAACATAGGAAGCCCATTTTTAAATACACAGCTGAGACATTACAGCGTAACAATATATACATATAATTCTGAACTCGGAATGACGGAATTATTCTCTAACAGAGCTTACATGTGCTGGTGAAGATTAAAAATACAGATGAGAGGTTTGCACTGACTGGACTATATTTCGTCTTGTTTTTGAACCCAAATAAGGACTAAATGTAGGCTATTTCATTGATCTGCATTTATAATCAAATCATGTTCATAGAAAGGTTAGTAATGAACATTTATACACATATTAATGTGTATAAAGTGTCTGTTTTATGTGAAGTGCCTATTTTATGAGATGTTAACGACCGTACAGTTTTACTGTGGACATTTTCTCGAGCGAGAATGATATCGACTGAAACTTTGACCATTGGTACCCTTTTGGGAGTGGAAACGCAAGCCTGATGAAAGTGACCTTTACCGAATCGTACCGTACCATATACCACTCAGTGAAAATGGGCCATTAGACAGTGGAATCGGTAATAAAAGCCGAACCGTACCGTACCACTCAGTGGAAACGGGCCATAAAAAGTATGACTTTATCCGAAGTTGAGTCATTCATTTATTCTCAGCCTAAAGTTCACGTGATGTTTATACAGCCCTCCTAAAGTGAAAGGTGAATAGGGGACATTGCAGCTGGGTTTGGGGATGTTCTTCTTCATACAGGAGTGTGTTTCTGTGTCCTGCTCCTGCATCTGTGTAAAGCTTGTGATGGTTTCCGGGATATTTGGAGAGATAAACAACGAAACGAGCGCGTGCGGCTTCTCATTTGAGGTCTCTGCTGCATGCAAACCCTCTTTCGTATTGCGTAATGGGCCCTGAATCATATTATACCTCATTAGTATTTCAAAGCCATTCTGTTTTTCCTCCCATAGCGCTACTTTGCCATGCATCACTTTGTTTAGAGTGAGCCGTAGAAAGGAAATTGATGTTTGACATGGTGACTTTTCATTGTTGAATATTTACCATTACTGTTGTTCTGTTTTTGTGTTATTTTCAACGGTTCTGTACTCTAGTTTTTGTCCCTTTTATGACTTAAAGTTGAACGAATCACACCACCTCGTTATACTGTATTATACAAAGTGACTGATATAAACAGAAAAACATGCCGTTTGCATTGAATGAGTTTTATATGAGAGCAGGTCATGCAGAGTTCCTGTAACCACAAGGCTGTTCAAGGATTGGTTCTTTGTTCATATGAGCCTCTTTTTATCAACGGTACATTTGGCCAGTACCCTCCTGTAAACACCCTGTTGTATTTCATGTCTTTTGAAGCTCTCACTTTAATTTATTATTATTATTTTTATTTAATATAGACATTATTTTTGTGAGATAAACATGTCCACAGTTTTAGAATAAAGCAAAATGATGATTAAAGTGCTAAATGAGCTCAAGCAAAAGACATTAAATATGCTTTCCAAAAAGCTTTCTGGAAAACTGCACCGTTTCAGAGTTCTAAAGGTCTTTCAAGGTCATTGATCAAAGCAAATACTAATTTAAGATTAAATTAAAATTAAATATTTCTGATGAGATGGAAAAGTATCACATAGGGCTGGGCAATTGATCAAGAAGTAATCGAAATCAACATTCAGAACCTACGCTGTAAAACCCAGCAGTCAACATTATCAAATGAAATGAGTGTAGTTAACTCAAAATTGACTGAAAGTTAATTCAACTCATTTGAAAAGAGTTTTGAACTCAGTGTTGAAGGTAATGAGTTAATGAAATATCTCATTACTTCAACTTAAATGGCATAAGTTCACAGTACTCATATAGATTAGTTTTTTTTAACTCAAATGGTTTGTAGCAATTGGTTTCCTCAAACAGTTTGAGTTGCCTTAACTTATTGGGTTTTACAGTACTCAGTTGGTTTGAGATTTCTTCATTTATTTGGTTTTACTGTGCTCAAATTGCTTCGTTTACTCAAATGTATGAGGTTCACAGTACTCAATAGTTTTAGTTTTTAAACTTAAATGGTTGTTTGCAATCAGTTTCCTCAAATGGCTAAAGTTACCCCAACTTTTTTTTGCAGTGTATAATCAATCAAATTTTTTCAGGTAGATTTTTTTTTTCTCGTTACTTTCCCTACCATGTGTGGAGTCATGTGCCCCAGCTCTGTGAAGGCTACTTTATACTCTGTGTCAAACTCATGGGTAAAATATAACTACACTTCGCAAGTTTGCACTACATTGACAAAGATTGGAAGCTGTGCCAGAGACGGCATACTTTCCCATTACAATAAAATTATTTACATAAAGTTTTTGTTTACAGAAGATGTAAGAAATGCACTGTTTAAAATATTATTTACAGGATATACAAGAGTTATTTTATTTAGAGGAGATACTGCGTATTTTCTACTTTTAATATGAAAAACAGTAATCATTTTTGTTATTTATTTTCACTTTTTTATAAATATGGTATATATGGTTTTAGGCGTTGTTCAACGTTGATGTTCAATAAATAATCATAGCTAGAAGATAGTTTTTGTTTCCTTCAATTATTTTAAAATCAAGTAATGCAACCTTTATTCAAAAAACTTTCACTTGTAATGTGAGCATTTTTACTGTAAAAAAAAATAAAAAACTTTTTAAATAAATTAATTCATTAATTGTTCATTAATCGTAATCAAGTTAAAATGTTCAATTAATCGAAATTTTGATTTTAGGCCAAATCGCCCAGCCCTAGTATGACAAGATATTCAGATATGTACATTTAGAGGGATAATTGACCTATCACCAATGTAATTTGAGGTAACTACAATGTAACTTAGATGTACAAATGTATCCCACTGAAAATAATTTATGTATGTAAAAAAAAAAAATATATATATATATATATATATATATATATATATATATATATATATATATATATATATATATATATATATGTATATATTTTTTTTTATTTTTTTTTCTGTAAAATAAAAATTAATAATTAAAATAAAAAAAAATAATGAAATATTTTTGTACTGTACTGTATGTCTGTCTTTTACAGAGTAACACATTAAAACTTAGTAAGGTCACACTTTATTTTGATGACCCATTTGCTGAATTTAAGTTACATTGCATCTACATGCCTACTAATTCTCTTTGGATAAGTAGACTGTTAGGTTGGGGTCGGGGTTAAGGTTAGTGTAAGCTGATATGCACTTGCAAAGTTTCTTATAGTCAGTTCAATGTCTGTTGAAGGAATCTGTTGAAGTATCAGCTGATATTAAGAAGACAGTCTACTAATACTCAAATGGACCATCAAAATAAAGTGTTACCCTTATTAATATTCATTTTTTTTTTTTACTTTCTTTACTGCCACAAAAAATCTGTATGCTTCCTAGCCATAAGGTATGAAGATAATAATTTGAAGATACAGCAACTGTTTTTTTTTTATTGTTTTTTTTTTTATTTAATTTATTTTTTTATTGAATTTTTCAGACTCTTGTCAAAATGTCACCGACTTCACTGAAGTTAACTTTCAGGCAGATTGAGGAAGGAGCGAGAATGAGTATGCAGGAGGTGTTCATGATGGAGTATAGACTCAGCCAGGCCTGTATGGTATGTAATGCAATTTTCAGTAAATGCACTGCTTTATCATTTCATTACCTAAATCAAATCAGCTTAAAGCTGTGTTGGCGCTTTTTTGTTGCACAGTGTGCCATTTATTAGATTAGAGAGAAATATTTGTGTAATTCAAGTCATGGATTTGTACTCTTGTTTTACAGAACGGCCACGATTTTTATGAGGGGGTCAGAGCAGGTAATATGCGTTTTTCTTTCTGAAATGTATTATACAGGGTTCCCACAAGTCATGGAATTTCAGGAATATCTCAGAATTTTAAAAGCAGTATTCAAGACATTGAAAATCATGGAATTTATTAGTTTGTTTGTATTTTGACCAGGTCATGGAATGTCAGGCATTTTTGCTATTCATTGAAAATTTTACTTTCCATTTATCAAAATGATTGCGTTTGTTTTATTGCGTTTTATATATATATATATATATATATATATATATATATATATATATATATATATATATATATTTTTTTTTTTTTTTTTTTTTTTTTTTATAAATGTAGTTTATATTGGCAAGCATAATTGGTCACTTACCGAGATATAGAAAATATAGCTGACTATGTTGTGACCTAATTATTGTTAAGTTTTCACTTTAAAAAAAAAAATATTGGACAAAAAGTCACCACTTGAACTAAAGAAGGCATTTCAGTCCAACTTTGCTTTGGGTTAGGGTTAGATAGATAAACACACAGACAGATAAATAGACAGACAGCCGGATAGATAAACAAATGGATGGATGGATGGATGGATGGATGGATGGATGGATGGATAGATAATCGAATGACACCTCATACATGCACACTGGACCTATGCTTCAAGACATACAGCCATGTAAGTCTAAGCCAATCAGATTAAATATTCTAATAAGGGTGAAACTAGCTTTTACCCACTTCCCTTACCCTAACCTCGGAGGGATTGGTATTGTTTAACCCCAACATAACCTTAACTCCAACCTATTATAACCCTGTTTGGGTTTATACATTTTCTTTAAAACCATCCAAATTTGCTTGAGCGCTTAAAAAGATGTTACATAATAACACACAATTAAAGATATTAATTTTATTAGTCTGGGAATTTGACATTTGGCTCATAGTGGGAACCCTGATTACATTGTATTAGTAAATTTGATTGTGTTTAATTATTAAAGTTGTGTACCAGCCAGACAGGATATTTAATTAAATTGATACTGTATTATTTTTAATGTGCTTTGTTGATCTGTTCATCATTGTATTGTCTAATAATATCTGTAAATGGTAATGATTCAGGGTTTTGTGTGTTAAAATAGAAATGCTCCACTTAAATAACCAGTTTTTGCCCCAAATTTAGAGCATAATTTCCCCCCTCTCTATTCACAGTGCTAATCGATAAAGACCAGAGTCCAAAGTGGAAACCTTCTACCCTGGCTGGAGTCTCAGTTCAGTTTGTAGACAAATGTTTCAGCTCTCTGGGTGAAAGAGACCTCAAACTATAGAAAGTCATTTCAAAAATCCCGCAAGTTGCTTTTTCACAGATCTCTGAAATTTATCAAAGAAATCTGCATTGTTATTTCTGTCAGCATATAGTAGCTGACGAAAGCAAAAATACTTCTGCTGCTTACAGCTAAAGCAAATGTTCCTCTGAGGCTTCTGTGAGGCCTCTCTGAAATGATGAGCAATGCTGATTTCTTCTGGAAGTTCAGAGGTTTGGGGAGTGTCTTGATGCCATTCTACTGGGAAATGGCATTAAGGGAGAGTTAACAATTGAAAATGAGTATGTCATTATTTACTTAACCCCAGTTAAACGTTTCTGTTTTTATTTACAGTTGTTAATATCAGAATTTTGATAGTCATGCAGGTATTTTCTGTGAATTAAAATATGAGGTGTTCATACTGGGTATAAAATGACAAAAGTGATATAATGACACAATTTTGAACAAAATTTAACAGCACTCTGTTTAAAGTGCTGGGAATCGTATCTTGCATACTTCATTGTTAAAGGTGTCTTTTTTCCCCTCTAAACTGTGTAATCGTTTGTGTAAATCCTGTGGAAATAGATTGGCAGACACTGATTTTTGCACATGCTGCAATCCGTGATTAACCTTAACACATGCCCTGGCCACGATTCAGTTCGGTCGGATTAAAGTATTGTCATGTGATGCACAGTATGCAATATGACTGCCATTAACCACAGTGCTGTTTACTACACAAGTCCTTCCTCTGGCATAAATGTATCAAGCTTGATATATTAAATCTGAATGACGTTGACACGACCATGATGCCTTGAGTTATAACGATTCAGTCCTTCTTTGCTATGCCGATATAACTGCGTGGATGTTGATTTAAACTGCGTGACCTATATTTCATGAACAAAAAAAATAAGATTGTTTTGTATCCACTTTTGGTTTTGATTGCAGAAATCTCATGTAATCTTAACATGCCCACAGCACATCTCAATAAAAACAAAGGTGTAAAAAGTCTGGTCTTCTGCCTCATTGAACTAATTAGCAAATTGACTGACAGACTCAGCAGTTTAGTTAATCTGCTTATCCGTGTTGTTTGTTAAGGAGTTGCTCATACTTAGTGTTAAGGGCTTGTTGAAATCCCTAAACCAAAGTAGTAAAATCACACCCGTACCATTTGCATTACTGGACAGACGTGAATATCTCAATTCATATCACCTTATTCACTGAAATTTGCTTGCATTTTTTAAAGAAGTCAAACTTATGATTTTAACCCAGTCAACGATAAAAGTATTAATAAAACTGGATTTCTAGTTAGAGAGCTGAAGGGCCCTATCATACACCCGGCGCAATAAGGCACAAGACTGTGTATGTCAAGATTTTGTTGCTATTTTTAAACCAACGTAACCCTAATTTTCACGTTTTGCGCCACGTTGTGTAAATAGCAGATCCATTTGTGCCCCTTTGTTGACTCATTGGTGTGCCGGTCTACTAAGGAGATGTGTTAAGGTGCATTGTTCACTCTCAAAAATAAAGGTACGTGAGCTGTCACTGGGGTGGTACCTTTTCAAAAGGTACAAATATGTACTTTAAAGGTCCATATTAATACCTCAAGGGTACATATTAATACTTAAAAAGAACAAAAGTGTTCCTCTTAAAATCCTTTGGTACTAATATATACTTTTGAGGTACCAATATAGACCCTTTAAGTACAAATGTGTACCTTTTGAAAAGCTACCACCCCAGTGAGAGCTTGCGTACCTTTATTTCTGAGAGTGTTGTCGTGTTGCTAATTTGAGGAACTAAAATAGACTGCACCGTTGACCAATTGAAAGCTGGTCTAAATTCCAGCGCAGAGTAGTGTTAGTTGTGAGCCTATGCAAATCCAAATGCTTACACATTGCTTGATACACACAGGATTTACAGCAATACACAAAGATATTTAAATATGAAAAAGATTTAAAGGATTAAAATATTACAAAAATGTTTATTTTTCACATAAATATAAAAACCTCTGCCTTCATGACTTCATCATGGGGGGCTTTTTTCAGTTTATTTATGACAATTTACTTTTGTATAATGTTATTATTGGCGGTAGTATTATTTATTATTTAGATAAGTTTAGATTTGTCCACCTGGGTGTGTGTTTGAATATAACTCCTTTTTTTGACAACACTTCGTTATTATCGTTCATTTATTTGTTTGCTGGAAATTAGAACTGAACTTAGAAATAGTTTTGAAACAAATCTTTGCGCTTAATAAACAAAATTAATTATGTATAGGCTAATTGACGTCTTCAGTGGAGTGTGTACAACACTGTTTCCTTATCCAAGAAAGTAAAGGAGTAAAGTAATGAGAGAGTAAAGAGGCACAATGGAGGTGGCTCGTTCTTGATCCTCGCACTGCAGATGGTCTGTTTAACGTTTAACTGTTTTCTCGCTTGTGAAGGGTTCAGTTTTTCCACTTACAAAGTCCGCCATGTAAATAGCAAATGTGCAATGGTGCGATGAAACTGACTCTTAAAGGGAATGGTAGATGAGACTAAATGGTGTAATGCACATTATGCTCAGAACACACCTATAACTCATTAAGAGAATAAGCAGAACCCTGTTAGACCATGCACCAGGGTGCAGAGCGTATTGTTTCGTCCCCCAAATAGCAAAAGTGAATTTAGACATGCCCTTAATGCTTTTGTGCCATGTGCTTTAGACTTTGTGCCTAGAATATTCAAATAAAAAAGCTTGTTTAAGGGTGTGTTGACACCATTTTCAACCAATAATGGGATTTTCTGGTTTTGATTGTTAATTTATCAATGTACAAAAATTCTGAAAATGATTAAGTCATTTTCATGTCTGTTCCATGTTTGTGACTAAAAACTCAACTATTTAGTCTCCACTACACTTCCTAATCTGCAATTGCCTCTCTGAATATCACACTAACTGTACCAAAAAAAAAAAAAAAATACTAATACTACTAACACTTCCCTTCTTAGACTTTACAGACCTGAAACTTGCCTATAGCACTTATTCATTGTTGCTCTTAGTTGTGTAAATTGCTTTCTTGTCCTCATTTGTACTGTAAGTCGCTTTGGATAAAAGCGTCTGCTAAATGACTAAATGTAAATGTAAAATGTTTAATATTTAAGTGTACTTATAAAACAGCAGTGATGGACCCTTTTCTTTACCAAGCTTTTTTATATCACCAACTATTGGCCTGGCCTAATTCAGTATTTTAAGTCATTTTGCAAATCCATGTGACCATGATGTCATGCAAACATACCTTCAGCCATTCTGTCTTAAGTTACAATGTTAAGTGATAGGAGAGAAGAAATCAAAAGAAGGCAACGATTGAGGTATCAAGGAAGGCCATGGTTTTATTTATTGGCGTTGCTGTGTTTTTTCCCCCCTTTTCTTTAGATTACAGAACTGAGATTGCACAGATTACAGGTTGAAACACTTCTGTCTGAAATACACACCGAAATATGAAAGACAACAAGTTTGGTCAGAATCATCAGCAGCTCATCAAACATTTATGACATAACTGTAGGTCCTAGGAGAAATCAGCACATTGACTGCAGTACAGCTATTCTTTCTTTTATGTGATCACTTTTGGTTGTTCATCATCTTAACACAAAATCCTACTTCCATCTGGCATAGTAAAAGAATGGAAGCTAAACAGAGTAAGAAACCCCAGTGTTGATTGTTTTTATATACTGTACTGAGATATAATGAAGTTCTACTCTGAGCACATTCTGTAACGTGCTGAAAGGCCTCAAAAAAATTTACAATAAGTCTCTCTTCTGTATCTGAAGACTTCACTTTGCATTTCCGACATTCTTTACAAAAGTAAAATGGTCAAAGTGCAGAAGTTGTTTAATTGTCTTTGCAATGGGCCGTAACAGAGACTGTCCACTTCTTCCGGAAATCATTTTCTAGTTCATTTTCTCCATAGGGATTAGAGCAAACTCTTCTTCAGTGAAGAGTTTAAAAGCCATGAACCAAAGCAACCAGCTCTAGTAAAAGCGGTGATTTAAAACAAAACGTTGTGGGCTTTGATTATATTATATTGAATGACTGTCAGTGTATATAACATATTTAACTCATTACTGTGAATTTAACTGCAAGCTTTAATATATAAACATAAATATGAGTAGATTAATAGATCTTTAGTAACACTTTATGATTACTTACGAGATCTGAATATTAACCCTTGTGTATTGTTCAAATTTACTACCCTTTCATTATGTTGGTGGCTGTTTTGCCCATTGGCTTCCTTAATAACAACATTTATTGATTGCAAAGCCATGACACAATATTATCATGCATGCATTTTTCCCTGTTGGGAAGAGATAAAATGTGTCATTTGTACTGCTGATCATTAGTTATCACCGTTAACCAATTAGATAGGCCTGTGCCAAAAAAAAAAAAAAAACGTTTGTGGCTTTATATGGAGTTCTATAGTGTCAAACAGCAAATTATACTGTGCGTGCACAAATACACATATGTTTGAAAGCTATAAAAACTATGTTCTGAAAGCTTAGCTCAGACATATGAAGGTATGTGCGCAAAAGTCTCACTCACGCTCATTACTCGATATAACTCTATAAATCCAGAAACTAGCCCTGCAACTGATGTTCAACAGTAAAAAATAGACGTTTTACCTCATCCCAACAGGGAAAACCACCAACAGTCAAGAAAGCATGATTAGATGGTGTCATGGCTTTGCAATCAACTTTGTCTTATAATGGAAACCAATAGGGCAAAACAGCCACAAACATAACAAAAGTGTAGTAAATTTGCCCAGAGTGTATTCAGTTTTTGAAAACTTTCAAAGCATTTTCCCAAAATTTGTGTCAAACTAAGATTTGTCACCAAAATCATTCCATTTGCTGAAACACAGAAAGTTGTGGCCAAATTAAGACTCAAAATCACCCCAGACTGGATGAAAGCATACCCAACAGCACACAAGGGTTAAGGTTTGCTTTTTATATATAGTTGAAATCACAGTGATTTGGGTGAACCATGTGTGATACCACCTCAACGTTCATGGTAGGTATTAAAAGGTTTCTAAATCAATTTTTCTATGGAGAAAACAAATGCGATTATTACTTCTGGAACCCATCCGCTGCACTTTATTGATCTGCAATCATTAAAGGGAAACTGGTTACCTGACAACATGGCACAAGACCCAGGAGTGCCAATAAATCGCTCAATAAAAAGCATTGGCGTGCAGCTGTTAGAACACTACCAGAAGAGTAATTGTGCTTGTATTAACGATCATTAAGGACATTGGCATGTTTGGTTCCCTGTCTAAATTTTGTCTCCTAGTGAGGGATTCGGCAGTCTTGGTAGCATATTCATTTACTTTTTAAAACATCATGGCCTTGAATAGTTGCATATTTTAGCTGCACCGAAGCAAACGTTCTATTAAAAAATTATGTAATGGCTCACGCTTTGGGACGGATGAATGTAATCCTTCCCTTTGAATGTATTAAGATCTTTTGTAATCTCTAAATCTTTCAACAATGTCTACAGTCTAGGTGCATTCATGCCATGTCGCAATTACGATAATTACTACTTACAGAAAGCATTCATGTCTTTGTATTAGTCATAAATCATAACTTGTACACTAGAAATATTAAGAGAGCCATGACTGGACCACCTGATTGCCACAGATTCATTTAGGTGCTGAAAAAGCAACAACATTTAGTCCCTTTTTTAGATTTTAGACCATGGAACATAAGTATTATAATTTCAAAATGATGCTAATTACAACATGGCATGAATGCAGAATATAGTAATCAAAAAAACACTAAAGATTTTGTAGCAGGAGTCACTTGTCCAAAAAATAAATAAAAGATTACCAGTGAAGTAAAGAGAAACAGTGACCTCTGCGCAGATGCTCTCTAAATGTTTGGTCACATTCACCATTGTACATTGAATTTACTTGAAAAACAGTCCATAAGGATTCATCTGATCATGAATTTCGCA